GTTTTAAAGCTCGAATAGCGGCATAAAATTCGAGCTAGTAAGTAGTCCACTTTTGTCGAGGCTCTACAACCTTCTCACTAAAAAACTCCACTGGGCTCCCTTCTTGTGTTAGAACCGCCCCAATTCTCAGAACCGATGCATCACATTCAACCTCAAACACCTTCTCGAAACTAGGAAGCGCCAGCACAAGAGCAGAACACAACTTCTCTTTGATTACCTCAAAACTCCTTTCATGCGTCCTTCCCCATTGAAACTGCCCTTTTTTCAAACAATCGATAATAGGTGTCATGATAGTACTAAAACCTCGAATAAAATGCCTATAAAAAGTAGCTAAACCATGGCAGCTTTGTACTTCACGCACGGTTCGCGGAGTTGGCCATTCTCGAATTGCCTTACCTTGGTCTCATCAACCTGAATCTCATCTCATCCCACTATAAAACCAAGAAATAGAAGCTAGTTAGTCATGAAAGTGCACTTTTTAAGCTTGATATACAGTTTATGAGCTTGCAGCACTAGAAGAACCTCTCTGAGATGTGTCAAATGCTCCTCCTCATTTCGGCTATAAATAAGGATATCATCAAAATAAACAACCACAAATTTCCTAATGAATGGATAAAGAACCTTATTCATCAAACGCATGAAAGTACTAGGTGCGTTAGATAACCCAAACGGCATCACCAACCATTTATAGAGGTCATCCTTAGTCTTAAAGGTTGTCTTCCACTCATCTCTAGGCCGAATACGGATTTGATAGTAGCCACTGCGCAAATCAAGTTTAGTGAACACCACAGCTCCCTCCAATCTGTTAAGCATATCATTAAATCGTGGAATAGGAAATCGGTACTTGACAATAATTTTATTAATGACACGGCTATCAACGCACATCCTCTAACTTCCATCTTTCTTCGGGGTAAGCAGGGCAGGGATTGCACAATGACTCATACTCTCCCTAATCAAACATTTATCAAGTAACTCATTAACTTGCCATTGTAATTCCTCATATTCAGTTGGTCTCATGCGATAATGTGGCAAATTGGGTAAGCTAGCTCTAGGTACTAGATCAATATGATGTTGAATGTTTCTCGTGGGAGGCAGCTCGTTAGGCAATTCAGTAGGAGATAAATCAGGAAATCAGATAGCACCTTTTGAGCTAGAAGAGGGTTCAATAATTGTCACAGATTGACCTTTTAACTACCAATGCTATCACAAAACCCGGTTCTTTGACTTCAGCAAAGAAGGATGAACCCATTATGTTGGTGAACACCGGCTTGTCTTCCTTAATAGTTGAATTGTTGTCAGACGGGTAAGATTGTGGCATCAAAACAATCTTATCAAACCACCAAAAGACCAACGTATTATCATGACCCTTATAAGTAGCATCCACATCGCAATGTCACAGTCTTCCAAAGAGCACATGACAAGCATCAATATCCACTACATCATATAAAATCTCATCCTTGTAATATTTGCCAAACGATAAAAGAACCTTGCAAACTTCTAGAACTTGAACTTCAGGACCCTTCTTAATCCATGCAATTTTGTAAGGCGAGGGATGCTTCTCAGTTTTCAAATTGAGTGTCTTTACCAAAGCCTTGGAGACCACATTCTCGCTACTGCCACTGTCAATAATCATGTTGCATACTTTATTTCTAATAGTGCATCGAGTTCGGAATATCTTGTGGCTTTGAGAATCATCTCGCACCTTTGGGACTAGCAAAAGGCGTTGAACAATACAAGCTACCTCTTCTCCTTCGTCTCTCACTTCAATCTCAGCTCCTTCATAAATATCTTCTTCAAGCACATGCTCCTCGTCACCATCCTGTTCCACATAATTGACTGTTCGTCTGTTCGGGCAATTATTAAAAGATGACCGGGTTGGTTGCATCGAAAACATTTTCCAAGAGTAGGGCGAGCATAAGGATCATTAGTGGTTCGTTGTGGCTGCTGATTTCGACCTTGAGTATTAGGTCCAATAAGGATTGAAGTCCTTCCTCGATTCTGCATCGAATCTTGAGTAGAAGGGGCGTCTTTATTGTTGTTTTCATTGCTGCGAAGATGTAGACACTCTTGGAGTAGAAAAAGCTTCTTGAGTTGGTCGCCGAAAATTACTCGGAGTGCGCACGGTGGACCTGTTGATTTGATTTTCCACTTTCATCGCCAAATTAACTACGTCAATCATAGTCCAGTCTCCTTGAAGAGCCAAACGGTCTTAAATAGTCAATTTTAGACCTCCAATATAACGAGCGATTAATTGATCTTTCGTCTATGACAAAGTGACTCAAGCATTTAATCGATAAAATTCCTTTGTGTAGTCATTCACCGTGCGATTGATCTGACGACAATTTTGGTATTGTTGGTATAGGAATTGTTCATAATCGGAGGGAAGAAAACGTTTTTGAAGTAACCTCTTCATCTTAGGCTAAGTATGAACATGTTTTCCTTGTCGTTGACGGTTATATTAAAGTTGTTCTCACCAAGCAGAAGCTCCACCTTTCAACTTGTAGGTTACAAGTTTTACTTGTCGGTTTTTCGGAATCTCTAAATAATCAAAAAAATTCTCAACATTATGAATCCAATCGAGAAAATCTTCAATGTGTAATCGCCCTCAAAGCACAACAAGTCCATTTTCATCTTAAATTGTTGGCTATTTTGACCCCGATTCATAGCCCGATGGTCAAATTAGAAACCATCTTCTTTCCCGGACAAATAATCCAACTCTCGTTGTCGCCGACGAGGAGGATTCTTGCGTTGTGGTTGGCGAAAAGCAACCCAAACTTGAAAAGGAGGAAAAATCTCGTCTTGCTCACCAAAGTCTCTCACAGCCACTCGTCGGAATTTATCACCACCGCCCAGATCGACTCTAATTTGGGGTCTCTGGGGATCAATCGCACCCCCAAGGGCCAACGTGGGTTACCCAGGCCTAGGTTGTCGAGATTCTAGACCCTAGGATTCCACGCATCCAGATTTGCTCACTCAGCGTTCTGCCGGCCGCCATCGCCATCAGAGTTGCTATTCCCCGACCGGTCCCCTACTCGATCTGATAGCCTCTCCCTTTTTTCATGCCTCGCTTTGGCAGTCAACGCAGCCATCATCTGCGTCAGATTGTTAAGTGTTTCAGCAAAGCCATCAAGTCGTTGTTTGACTCTTTCGAGTCGTCGTTTGTCGTCGGCGGGTTGTTTCCCACTAGAACTGTCATCAGCCATCAGGTCCAGGTGAAAATCCAGGCTCTAATACCAATTTGGTGCAGCGAAACAGGTGTTTCAAAGAAACAATAATTTGGTGCAGCGGAATAGGTGTTTTCAAGAAACAATTGAGAACCCAAATTGGTAAAAAACTAATGATAACTTTTCTTCCAAAATATTATTCAGATTGTTTTTTCTAGATACAACTCAAAGCCTTAAATAGAATACATAATACAAAGAATAGGAAACGTACTAAGAATAGGAAATGAAATTAGGAAACTTAGAATAGGAAACATTAAATTAGGAAACTTAGAAAATAATTTCAGAAAATAGGAAACTAATAATAAGAATGGAGAACTTGTTTTTATTAAACGTGTGCTGCATCACAAGACCTAAACGATATAGTACGGGTCAATGCCTACTTAAAGGCCTTTTGAGTTATGAATTGGAAGTTCGGGAGAACTACATAAAAGACCTTAAAGAGTTATGAATTGAAAGTTCAAGAGAATCTGAATTTCATGACGGATTTTCACGTAGCTAACTAGTTTATTATTATATATAGGTCAAGTAAGGTACTTCTATATCTCTTCTACCCTTGGAGTGTATATTTTTCCACTGATCATTTTTGGCTGGAAGGTGATTATCCTCTCTTGTGAATCCCTACATGATTGACTTTATTGAGTCTTTATTACTCAGAAAAACTGTCTAAGATAAACAAAAATTCCTCTTGGAACTTTAATGAAAGAGAAGTAGAAATGGACCAAAAGTGAACATTTTCAGTGAAGAGAAACTGAGGTCTGGTTGCTGGAATCCTCCAGACTACTCTAAAAGAAAGTATTCCTCAAGTAAATTTCAAAGAATATCAAAGTTATAAAGATCTGAAATTTTAGCAAATGTCAAAGCAGCTAGACAAGACCAAGAATTCCTAGAGAACCAAGCGTGCCTCTTAGGTATTTAGGAGATCAATTTCAATTCAAATAAATGTTGCATATATTACAAATTCACAAATACTTAAGTACAGTAAAGAAAACATAACAGATTAAGCATAGACTGATAATAAAAAATGCAATAAGCTCGTTAATAATCATCAAATTTTGGCATTTCATCCCGCTCAGACACACTGAAGTAAATAGTCCAGATTTGTCATTTACTCTCTTATTCTTAAATCTAGTATTTTCCATATGGAAAAGAGAGATGGACAGCATCCAAGCTTATCGCTCCTGGGCATTCAATTGTACTAAATGATGTTTCATGATCTACGGTCTATGTGAAGCTATGTAGCACGGACACGGATCCGACACGGCCATCCGACACGCCGACACGAGGCAAATCCTAAAAATTACATAGGATACGTGTGTTAGACACGTGTATCCGACACGGACACGACACGACACGGCTTCATGTTATGCGTGTCCGTGCTTCATAGATGTGAAGTACTCTAATTTAAGTCAACTAAAGACTAATTTTCCCTGCAGTCTGTATTACAAGAAGCAACAGCCATCAAAGTTCTTTTTTTTTTAACACCAAGGCTGATGTCCCATTTATGATCATGGAGAACATTTATACCCAGTATTAGCTCATGAAATTGAAATGCAGCAAACAGAAAGAACTATGGATACAATCATCTTTTAATTAATGGATTAGCAATAAGAATGTATACACAAAGATACTCATTATCAAATCCCTTAATCTCAATAATATTTCCGGTGAAATAAATTATTAGTTTAATGATGTTGAAAAAGTGAAAACCTTAGTGATGTGTAATAACAAATAAGCATGCTTTTAAAAGAGTTAAATAACTAAGGTACAACTACATACCTGACTTCATTTTCTCATCGACAGCCCAATCTAGTGCCCTCTGAGCTGGTTCCGTCAATGGTGGATGTTCAGGACTAAAAAAATACATATCAGACTTCCCAAGCAACTTGACAGTTTCATCCCGTACTTTAAAAAGTGTGATTCCATTTGCACGTAGAAACTTTGCTGCTTCGCTCGTTCCTTTAATAGAGAGGAAGTAAAACCAATCAAGTTATGCATATATGATGATCAATAAAGAGGAAAGTACAAAACAACTATCTTGTATAAAACATGCTAAAAGACTTCAATTTAAAACAATGCCTTCATTGTTCCACTGCCTCCTTATATTATTTGTGGTTCAGAAAGAAAAGCCTATTGATTTTTAGGTGTAGTAGTTTCTTGACCCTGTTGTTGCCACATTCAGTTTTTGGTTGCCAGATACCTGCTTGAATCCTTGTTTAGAAATCATTGCTTGGTCATTTGCTAGATGTCTGGCTTGAACTGCATCAAGTTCTTTTAAGACCAAGGACAGAATCATGGAAGAAGATGTCAAAAAAAACTTTAACTGAAGGTCATAGTGCCAAACATAGAGCAATAAAGTTGACAACATATAAGCGAATGTATTTCTCTTATTCTCACAGAGAAAGGTGTAACTATAACATGATAGCAACATTTCAAGCAAATATTTATTCATTATTGATTCAAACATTTTACCTGCACATAACATTCGTCTGAACAACTAACTTTCCAAAGCACAACTTATTAACATAATCAAAAGCTTCTCAAACCAATAAAGAACGGTCCATAAACTATGATAACTAGAACTCAATCAGAATCAGTTAAAGTCCGCCATCAAAACAAGATCTGATCTTACATTTTGGTGCACAAATTTAAAGAAGAAATTCATCAATCTGCACAAAACATCGTATTCATTGAATTTCAGCAGAAGCAAATTAAATTCTCAGAATGGTGATTTTTCCTCTATTCCCCCTCCTTTTATTAAGGATGGAAACGAAGGGTCTGGCATCTGCATTGTCTTGAAACCTTGGTTTTAAGGCTCACAGGAATAGCAAGCGGCAGCTTCATCAATGCCTAAGTTGATCAAATACTTTCCCTTGATCTCTCTTTTGGAATTGGTACATGAAGAGAATGTGAGGAAACATGAAGGATGAGAAGGTGGATTCAGTAAATGTGAGAGGTTTGAATTCACCATAGTATCGATTATGGAATTTACTGGGAATTGTTGATGCCACAATGAGAGAATTTCTGCTCAATTTTAGAAGGGAGGGACAATATTTAACAACTGAAAAACATGATCCTACATATCCATTTATGTACCTAAGTTCAAATAAACTGATTGAAAAACAAGATCAATGCTAATGAACCAGATCAATCATAGGGATGTATCAATTATAGGGATGTAAGTATGTAAGAAATGTAGGGACCAAAGTTTGAATTTTCCCACTGGACCCACTCTAAATTAATTGAAGGTAATGATTTAATTTAATGCTATATTACTATTAACAAGTTAATATATATTGGTTTTCACATAACCTGGTCATGGATAATGCCTTGTTGTAGAATGCATGACACTTTGGCTGTCAGAAGTAGGTAAAGGTAAGGTGATAGATTATTTAAGTTCAATCTGAAGAAAACAAACAAATTGATAGGGCCTACATAAATTGTTCACAGATAATTTTACTAAACTACAAAACAACGTGAGAAACAGTGTCCTGTGGAGAAAGGTGCTATGCATTAAGCAAATATATTTCTGTTTTTAAGACAGCATAAATGAGATCAGTGTAATGTTTATTATAATGTATATCAGTAAACTGAGGCTTGGTTTGATAGAAGGGAAGGTGTTGTTATTATAATGTATATCAATAAACTGAGGCTTGGTTTGATAGAAGGGAAGGTGTGGTGAGGGAAAGGCACAAAACTACAAATCATGTTTGGTAGAGAAGAATCCCCCATTTGTGGAAGAGGAGAGGGAAAAAAATCTAGAAAAAAAATCCCCCCCTCCTCACTCGCCATACAACAAAAAAAGAAGGGCCAAATGGGACGTCCATCCTCCACCTGGTTGAACCTCACCCCACCTCATCTTCCATCCTCAAACCCCTACCAAACCAACCTTAAACATCGATAAATTGATTTTAATGAGCACTAAAGGGATGCTCAAACCTGGCATAATGTGGGAAATAATTAAAATGATGGCTTCTTGAATACCAAAAAAGGCAGAGACTCAACAGAAGCCCCAAAAGAAGGAGAACTCTGCCTAAATGTGCCTATTGTTCCATACATTTTATCAATGCTAAATACACAACGTTAAAAGTCATTCCCTTACAGATCCCTCAAGGTGCATCATCATGGAAATATCTTTATTTTAAGAAAACAAAACAAACATATAAACTATGATCAAGCTATATTTATGGAAAGTGGTTGTGTAGTCTTGCCATTCTGCACAAAATATTTCAAAGGTCATCTTTTTTTTTCCTTATTTCTAAAACTAGATAGAACCCCTTCTTCTGTGTCTCCATGAATTAGAATTTAAATAATTGCAGAAAGGTATATGCATCCAGATAATGAGCTTAGTCCTTGAACTGAAAACCACATGCTACAGGCTAATCCACAAACTAAGAAACAATCTCTTCCTCTAATGCTCGCAAGAAAAACAACTACTAACAGAACAAATGTAAGGATGCAAATAATTCTCTAAACCCAATATTATACTACTAAAATTCTTGATAATTTATTTAAGAGAGAGAACAATATGCAGGCCAAATTCTAGACCATTTCCCAACAAAAGCATCAAGTTCAACATGTTTTATTTTAGAGTTTTAATGATCTCAAATTTATGTAACAATTAACTTGGCTCATTACTACTGCATGTACTATGATCAAAGCAACACATGTAGAACAACTGCATCAGGAAGCTTGCAATTGCACCAGTATATGATGAAATGTTCACTAACTAGTTCATAAGAAACATCTCAACCTTAGTAATGAACAAAATAGATATTTGATAGGAACCATCAAAGAACATTGATATTTCAAGAACCTAAATGTATGATTGTGGAGGGACTCAAAACCTACTTCCAATAGCATAATCAGCATATCACAAAAGTGCCATGCAGTTATTGGATTTACCACAGCAAATATTGCGTACATCCTTGGTGAAGAATTTAGTCTACCGATTTCGCTACTTATAACATCTACACCAGACAAAATCTTAATTTTTCAACAAACAAATGAACGTCAACCAAGTTGCCAGCTACTCGAACAAGCCTCGTTATCAAAAAAAAGATCAACTTTCTAAAACTAGGATAGAATCCCCTTAATAAATTATCTTGTAGATTAAATTTAAACAGTTGTAGACCAATGCACACATGCTGATACAACTTAGGCCTTAAACCCAAAATTACATGGTAGATGCTATTCGTAGAAGAAAGAAACAATCGGTCCCATGAGAGAAAATTGATACAGAGTAACATAACGATGCCAATAATTCACAAAGCTTTTAACTCTCTAAGACCAGTATTATACCGCCAACACATATGCATCAAATTAATCTATTTGAAACATTTTTCCTACCTTAAGAGCTTTCTAACAGACTGAGTTTTAAAAAAGCATGTACTGATATCACTCGTTACTAATGCATGTATAATTTGATTACAGGCAACACGTCTAAAACAACTGCACTGTGGAAGCTTGAAAGTTTGCCAATCTATAATAAAATGTTCGCCAACTTGTTTATGAGACATAAGTCAAAACTTGAGTGATGAACAAATTAGATTTTTTATAGGGACCATCAAAAAAGTTGAGCATCCAAAAAAAAATTTAGGATAGTCAAAGAACTTGGCAACTATTTAACACAGCATTATCATCATCATCATACAGAAAAAAGACCCACGTAGTTATCGTATTTACCACAGAATACTGCATTCATCTTTAGTTAAGGATTTTAATATACCAACTTGCCATCTTGTAATGTCTACACAAAGCAAAATATTATCTTTTCAACAAACAAATGCATGTCTATCAAGTCACCAACTCCCCAAACAAGCTCCATTACAAAAGAGCCAATTTTTCTATAAACAAAAAATCTAAATTTGATAGAACATCTGCTTTTAAATTTTTAAAAAAAATTCACAAACCCTCAACAAGGATGCCCATGAGAAGAGCCTCTGTCCCGGTTGTCGGGTATTTGAGCTTCCTTGCTTCAAGCTCTCCCATCCCAAAAGATTTTATTGACCTCGCCGACCATCTGCTCACAAAATTCACCAATCAAATTCAATTGTCCAATTAAAACAAAAACCAGAAACCCAGAAGGAGGTTACTTTGGGATTTTCTCGGCCGGTGCTCTATCGGGTTTTCTGCAAAGAGAAAAATTGAGAGATGGGTCAGATAGAGAAATTGGAAGTTGCAAAAGATGAAATTTTGAGAGGAGATTTGTTTGTATTACGCTGTGGGGAGCATGAAAAGCACAGTTGAAGATAGCTTCCGAAGGGTTTGTTTCGGGGATGGAGAATTGATGGTTTGGAGCGAGAAGAGGGCGTGAAAACCCAGAAAGGAAGACTTTGGGGTCTGAAAGAAGACAGAGGAGGAGATGCGTTTCTTTGAATTGGAAGAGTACAAAGAAGAAAACGGAACGGGGATGGGGGAAAGAGAGAGCGCGCAAGCTGCTGCCATTTTCTCCGATTTCCTTTATTAGCTGATGAACTTTTTGAGAAGAAAGCGGTTCGTTCGGTGGATCCGTTTCTTCTTGTCTCTCCTCAACCTTTGACGATAGAATTTACTCGTTATCGATGATGAAGCCCTTGCTGCAATTGGTTTGGATACCAAGGAGGGGAAAAGGGCTTCGAGTGATTAAGGGCTTGTTTGGATTGAGGGGAATGAGGGTGAAGGGAAGTTAGGGGAATCATTCACCTCCATTCATCTTGTTTGGGAACACTTAGGAGGTGAAGTTAATTCACCTTCATTCACCTTGGTTCACCCCCTAATAGTATAAAAATTGTTACCCCAAATTGGGGTGTAACTAAGGGGAAGAGAATTCCCTTTCCTTCCTTTCACTCAGTTTCCCTTAACTTCCCTTCACCCCCTACGAATCCAAACAAGGGTTTTAAGGGCTCGTTTTGGTATAACCTTCACAAAAATTAGCGGGGTAATATTCCTACGTTTGATATTTACTTTTAATAAAAATAAGGATAAATTTTTAAAATAGATTCATAAGTCATAAATGTCCTTATAGAGTATATTGATGTATTGACCTAGAGTTATGCAGTTATGCTTAGCTTAGACCCCAATGTGGCTGTACATCACCTTGACATTGACCACAATGTTAAACCAGTCAAGCAATAACAACGACACAACCGTCCTGAATCGATGGAGCAAATCGAAAAAGATATCCGTAAACTCATTGAATGTGGATTCATCTGTGAAGAACAACACCTGGATTAGCTGGCCAACATCGTGGTAGTAATCAAAAAGAATGGCAAGATCTGAATCTGCATTAATTTCAGAGATCTTAATCTTGCTTGCCTAAAAGATAAATTCCCTCTTCCTATCACGGATGTCATGGTTGACAATACATGTGGGTTTGAGAGGATGTCATTCATGGATGGATTTTCTGGATATAATCAGATCAAATGCATCCAAACGATCAGAAGCATATAGCTTTCTAGGCACCCTTAGGAGTATTCTATTATACAATAATGCCCTTCGGTCTAAAAATGCTAGAGTAACTTACCAACACGTTATGAACATGATTTTTCATGAGCATTTGTGTAAGACAATCGAATGATATGTCGGCGATCTAGCAATTAAGAGTTGTCACAAACAAGACCATGTTAATGACCTGAGAACAGTGTTCAAAATCATGAGAAAACATCAACTCAAGTTGAACCCGACTAAGTCTTTCTTAGGGTATCATCAGGTAAATTCCTAGGATTTATTGTAACATCCAAAGGAATACATGTCGATCCCAAAAGAGAAAAAGTCATCCGAAAGATGCCATCTCCGAGAAATCTCAAAAAACTAAGAGGTTTACAAGGACAATTGGCCTACATCTGTAGATTTTTCTGCAAAGAGAAAAATTGAGAGATGGGTCAGATAGAGAAATTGGAAGTTGCAAAAGATGAAATTTTGAGAGGAGATTTGTTTGTATTACGCTGTGGGGAGCATGAAAAGCACAGTTGAAGATAGCTTCCGAAGGGTTTGTTTCGGGGATGGAGAATTGATGGTTTGGAGCGAGAAGAGGGCGTGAAAACCCAGAAAGGAAGACTTTGGGGTCTGAAAGAAGACAGAGGAGGAGATGCGTTTCTTTGAATTGGAAGAGTACAAAGAAGAAAACGGAACGGGGATGGGGGAAAGAGAGAGCGCGCAAGCTGCTGCCATTTTCTCCGATTTCCTTTATTAGCTGATGAACTTTTTGAGAAGAAAGCGGTTCGTTCGGTGGATCCGTTTCTTCTTGTCTCTCCTCAACCTTTGACGATAGAATTTACTCGTTATCGATGATGAAGCCCTTGCTGCAATTGGTTTGGATACCAAGGAGGGGAAAAGGGCTTCGAGTGATTAAGGGCTTGTTTGGATTGAGGGGAATGAGGGTGAAGGGAAGTTAGGGGAATCATTCACCTCCATTCATCTTGTTTGGGAACACTTAGGAGGTGAAGTTAATTCACCTTCATTCACCTTGGTTCACCCCCTAATAGTATAAAAATTGTTACCCCAAATTGGGGTGTAACTAAGGGGAAGAGAATTCCCTTTCCTTCCTTTCACTCAGTTTCCCTTAACTTCCCTTCACCCCCTACGAATCCAAACAAGGGTTTTAAGGGCTCGTTTTGGTATAACCTTCACAAAAATTAGCGGGGTAATATTCCTACGTTTGATATTTACTTTTAATAAAAATAAGGATAAATTTTTAAAATAGATTCATAAGTCATAAATGTCCTTATAGAGTATATTGATGTATTGACCTAGAGTTATGCAGTTATGCTTAGCTTAGACCCCAATGTGGCTGTACATCACCTTGACATTGACCACAATGTTAAACCAGTCAAGCAATAACAACGACACAACCGTCCTGAATCGATGGAGCAAATCGAAAAAGATATCCGTAAACTCATTGAATGTGGATTCATCTGTGAAGAACAACACCTGGATTAGCTGGCCAACATCGTGGTAGTAATCAAAAAGAATGGCAAGATCTGAATCTGCATTAATTTCAGAGATCTTAATCTTGCTTGCCTAAAAGATAAATTCCCTCTTCCTATCACGGATGTCATGGTTGACAATACATGTGGGTTTGAGAGGATGTCATTCATGGATGGATTTTCTGGATATAATCAGATCAAATGCATCCAAACGATCAGAAGCATATAGCTTTCTAGGCACCCTTAGGAGTATTCTATTATACAATAATGCCCTTCGGTCTAAAAATGCTAGAGTAACTTACCAACACGTTATGAACATGATTTTTCATGAGCATTTGTGTAAGACAATCGAATGATATGTCGGCGATCTAGCAATTAAGAGTTGTCACAAACAAGACCATGTTAATGACCTGAGAACAGTGTTCAAAATCATGAGAAAACATCAACTCAAGTTGAACCCGACTAAGTCTTTCTTAGGGTATCATCAGGTAAATTCCTAGGATTTATTGTAACATCCAAAGGAATACATGTCGATCCCAAAAGAGAAAAAGTCATCCGAAAGATGCCATCTCCGAGAAATCTCAAAAAACTAAGAGGTTTACAAGGACAATTGGCCTACATCTGTAGATTCATAACCAATTTATCTGGAAAATGCCAGCCGTTTCAAAAGCTGGTGAAGAAAGGTGTTTCTATTTATTTAGGACAACGATTGCAAAAAAGCTTTTGATGAGATCAAGAATTACCTCAGGAAGCCACCGGGCCTGGTCACGCCAATGTCAGTTAAACCTTTCCTAATCCACATCAGGACCATGGACCACCCTCGAAGTACTTCTTATCCAGAAGAATGACGATGGCCACTAGCAAGCCATTTACTGCCTCACCTGGACCATGATTGGTGTCGAGCATCGTTACAATCCAGTTAAAAAGGAATGTCTAGCACTAGTCTTCGTAGTTCAGAAAATGTGGCATTACTTCACTGGCCAATCCATTCATGTTATTTCAAGAGTTAATCCTCTACGGATACTCATGACTAAACCAGGATTGCTGAATTTCATGTTAGCAAAATGGGCAATATTGATTTTCACAGTACAGTATGACATTCGTGTCCCAGAAGGCGGTTAAAGGTTAGTCAATAGCTGACTTTTTGGTAGACCGCCTTATCCCCGAATCTTCTAAACTCTATGAAGACATCCAAATGAAGTCTTCGAGTCAAATATTACCTTGGACCACCAGGTATGGCAACTTTACTTTGATGGTGCATCAAGACGCATGTAGACTGTTAAAATATATTTCATCCAGGCCAATATCTAACTTGGATCCAAACCGAGATCGCCCATAAACTAAAACACTTCAAATGGGCCCAAACTCGAGCTCACAACAAGCTATAATGAAGTTCGTCTAATAATGCATGTGAACCTTGCCACATAGCTTGGTTTCGAGTCGACCTGACGAAGCCAAGAATGAGTCGACTCCCAATTCATACCCCAGGCCGAGTCAAAAGGCATCAATAGTCGGCCAAATCTTGAGTCAAATTTTATGCTAAAATTTGAACTCACAGATGAAGTTTGTCAATCAACGAACTTCACTCATAAGCAACCCAAGTGGGCCACGAAGACTAAGCCATATTCAAGCGAGTCTCACCTGAACATCTTCGGTGAGCCTCACCTAAACATCTTCGTCGTGCCTCACCTAAACGTCTTCAACGAGCCTCGTCTAAACATCTTCAAAGAGCTTCGTCGAGTCAGTGAACCCCGCCAAACAGCCATTTGAGGGCTATTTTTAAGGGGATAACCTCTCCACACTATCTTCTACTTTGATGGACACTTAACCCACAATTAAAGGCTATAAACTCTCTCTCTCTCTCTTTTAGCCTATAAAAGGAGAGAAGATTGCTCATTTTTGAAGGATCTAATCATCTATGGATCCACACTTATAGACGAAAAAAATCAAGAGATCACCAACCTCGCATTTGTGTTTCTCTGGAGCTTTCGGTGAAAGAGAAGACTGAGATATCTTTCGAACAACTAAGTTTTCATTAATAGCAAAAGTCCCATTGTCTTAGTCAGTCCATCAACAGAGTACAAAATCGACGCTCCATCGGCACACAGAAAAAGAATCCCAGAAAAATACAAAATTTTCCTTAGTTTTATTGTAAGTCTTCTAATTGTAATTTGTGTCAATTGCAATACAAAAAGACCCAAAACAGGATGGCGACTCTGCTGATGACTTCTTTCTCCTCCGACGAGAAAATTGTGTCGCACACTAACACTAAGACCCTCTTTGCTGAATCATTAGTCATTGAATTTGACCAAACAAAGTTCAAGGAATTCATTTCCTCGAACCTATCTTCATTAATGGCTACTATACAAAGTTGTCATAAAATTTGTCGTAATGCGAATCTCTGGTCTAATTTGACCCCTACCTATGTAAAGGTGACAATCACCAAAGTCAGTTTGAGCTCAACTTGAAGCCAATCAAACTTCGTCCAAAGTGAAGAAAACTCAACCCTCGTCTCGAGCTAAGGTCAATACGTTACTACATCTTTTGATTTTGGACTTTAGTCCCTAACTCCTTTGGGAGTTCTATCTAAAGCATTTCGTGATGTTCGCTATGCTTCCTCGATAGAAGCTAAGAATGGGGGTTATTCCTTATCTAAATTCCCATAAGGGAATAACATCATTGATGATTTATCTAAATTCACTAGAAAAA